GGGTTGGAAGGGACCTCAGGAGGTCATCTAGTCCAACCCCCTGCTCAAAGCAAGACCAATCCCCAACTAAATCATCCCAGCCAGGGCTTTATCAAGCCTGACCTTAAAAACTTCTAAGGAAGGAGATTCCACCACCTCTCTAGGTAACGCATTCCAGTGCTTCACCACCCTCCTAGTGAAAAAGTTTTTCCTAATATCCAACCTAAACCTCCCCCACTGCAACTTGAGACCATTACTCCTTGTTCTGTCATCAGCTACCAGTGAGAACAGTCTAGATCCATCCTGTTTGGAACCCCCTTTCAGGTAGTTGAAAGCAGCTATCAAATCCCCCCTCATTCTTCTCTTCCGCAGACTAAACAATCCCAGTTCCCTCAGCCTCTCCTGATAAGTCATGTGTTCCAGACCCCTAATCATTTTTGTTGCCCTCTGCTGGACTTCTTCCAATTTTTCCACATCCTTCTTGTAGTGTGGGGCCCAAAACTGGACACAGTACTCCAGATGAGGCCGCACCAATGTCGAATAGAGGGGAACGATCACGTCCCTCGATCTGCTGGTAATGCCCCTACTTATACATCCCAAAATGCCATTGGCCTTCTTGGCAACAAGGGCACACTGTTGACTCATATCCAGCTTCTCGTCCACTGTAACCCCTAGGTCCTTTTCTGCAGAACTGCTGCCGAGCCATTCAGTCCCTAGTCTGTAGCAGTGCATGGGATTCTTCCGTCCTAAGTGCAGGACTCTGCACTTGTCCTTGTTGAACCTCATCAGATTTCTTTTGGCCCAATCCTCTAATTTGTCTAGGGCCCTCTGTATCCCATCCCTACCCTCCAGCGTATCTACCTCTCCTCCCAGTTTAGTGTCATCTGCAAACTTGCTGAGGGAGCAATCCACACCATCCTCCAATAATGAAGATATTGAACAAAACCGGCCCGAGGACCGACCCTTGGGGCACTCCACTTGATACCGGCTGCCAACTAGACATGGAGCCATTGATCACTACCCATTGAGTCTGACAATCTAGCCAGCCTTCTATCCATCTTATAGTCCATTCATCCAGCCCATACTTCTTTAACTTCCTGGCAAGAATACTGTGAGAGACTGTGTCAAATGCTTTGCTAAAGTCAAGGACACCTAGCTTCTATCCCTGGCTCTGGGAAGGACTAGAGCAGGGGCGTAGAGTCAAGGACTCCTGGGTTCCGTTAGTGGCTCTCCCGTTCTATCTCATGGTGGTGCCTCTGTGCATCACAGCCCACAGTGGCAGCCCCCTGACTGCACTCCTCTCTCTCTCTCTGTTGCAGGTCTCCATGCTGACCCTTCTGCTGGAGTTTCCCACCCTGTTGTGCCCAGACCCCGAGGTGGGCGAGCAGGTGGCTGGCTCTCTCCTGGCTAACTTTGCCCAGCTGCCCCACTCACCCAAGTTGTCCTGGCTGCGGCGCCACCTGCTGGTGGTGGTGGGGACTGTGCTGATCTCCACTGAGGCCTTTAGGGAGGGCTCCCAGGCCTCCCGTGACTACCTCTCTCTGCTGCTGCACCTGGCCTCGGACCTCAATGACCAGCGGCAGGGGCCGGGTGACCGCGGGGTGCGGGCGGCTGCCTGCGAGAGTCTGAGGGAGCTGGAGTGCTGCTACCCTGGCCTGTTCTCCCGGCGGTTGGACTCACTGCACTCCATGCAGCAGCAGGAGCTCACGCCTGTCCACCAGGGCTATACACTGCTGTACAGCCTGGCCCTGCGCAACGCTGTGCTGCTGCTGGCCCGCCGGGGAGAGGGGGCCCTCAGTGAATTGTTGGCCGGCAACGAGGGGCTAGCTTGGGAGGCGGTGGGGAACGCCGGGGCAGTCTCTCCAGCCTCCATTGACCGCCTGCTGCTGCTGCCCACCCCGGCCGAGACCAAGGAGCTGAAGTCGGTGCTGTCCCAGCTGCTGGATGGCTCCTATCTGCTGACACCACCTGCCCAGAGCCAGCTTCTGTGGCATCTGGCCCACGTGGTGTGCGTGATCCGCACCCAGTCACCTGCCATCTTCAAGGCGCAGCTGGTGCGGTTGTTTGGCACAGCCCACGTGGCGCTGCTGCACGCCAGCCTACAGCTCAAAGGGCTTTTCACAGACAGCCTCTTCACGGCCGAGGACGAGGCCTTCCTCCTGCGCCGCCTGGTGGGCATGGCCCAGCATCCCTCACTGCCCTCGCCCCTCAAACTCTTCTACCTCGACTGCCTGCTGCACTTCCCCGAGAACCGCCCGCTGGGCTCTGGCTCTGAGGAGGGGCTGCCCGTCCTGCTTACACCCCGCCTGGCCTCCTGCCTCTTCCCCTCCCTCTTCAACGACCCGGGCACCATGCTGGCACGCCTCAACCTGCTGAGCCTGGTGTGCCTGGAAAACCAGGGCCCCGAGGCTGACCAGGGTGTTGGATATATCTTTGAGCATGTCCTGGCACTGGCAGACACCGTGGCAGGCAAAGGTGGGCGTGAAGCCACTGGGCTCTTCTTCCGAGCTGCCTACCTCTTTGCCCGCTACTTTGACTCTAGGCCACAGCTCATGGCAGAGCTGACGGGCACCCTGGTGAGGCTGTATCGCCAGCGCTGCTCCCTGGCCCCCAACCTCATCAACCTGCTCAATGAGACCCAGGCGGTGCTGGATGACCCAGCCTGGCCCACATCCTTGAGCAAGGCTCTGCAGGAGCTGGCTGTGGGTGTGTCGCTGCTGCCACCCTGGGATCAGGATCTGGGCTGGCACCTCAAGCTGTTGGCCCGGGTGGCAAAGGAGAGTGGGGTCCCGCAGGGCAGCACACTTGGATTTCTGCAGCGCCTGGGGCGCCTGGCAGGTGCAGGACAGCTGGGAGGTTGGCACATTGGCCAGGCTTTGCTGAGCGTCTGCCGCAACCTGCTGCAGCACCAGCCGCCACCTGCCATGGGGTGCCAGCTGGCCGAGCTGCTCCAAGATATCGCACTGAGCTACCCGGATGTGGACGTGCAGGATCGGGCCCGCTTCTACTACACGCTCCTGTCCTGCCTGTCCGGGGACAAGCTGGGGGCAGTGCTGGCACCTGGTGGGCGCCTCAAAGCCCGGACTCTCTCCTCCTCTATCATGGCAGACAGTGAGAATTTCACCGCTGCACTCACCGTGCATCCAGCCCCGCAACCCCTGCTGCAGCTGCGGCGTGAGGCCCCAGCCAAGCCCACCCTGGTACCAGCGCCAGCCTCCCAGCCGTGCCCTGCTGATGCTCAGGAGGTGAAGGACTGCTGCCGACGGCTCCTGGAGCTGCATTCTCCAGCTCGGCTCAGCCTGACGTACCGGCTGCTCCACACAGGATCCTCCCCTGAGCGACTCTTCTGCCTCTTGCTGCGTTTCGAGCACTCTGACAGCTTCTATGAGCCAGTGCCTGATGTGTGTGTGCCCTGCCTCTCCACCACCCACCCCTCACCCCTCCTCACACTCCACCTGCAGCCCCGCTGCCCCTACCCCACCAAGCTGGCAGTGAGCGCCTTGTACACCACACAGACTGGCCTCACCTACTGCAGCCAGCTAGAACCACTGCAGGTGGCCTTTCCGGACATCTTCCTGCCTCTGGCGCTGCCCGTGAATTGGGACTGTGAGAGCCGGTGCCACCTCTTTGACACCCTCTGGTCCTCCCTGTGCCCAGATGGGTCAGGTGACTGCGCCGAGAGCCTCTTTTGCTGGCCCACTACCCAACAGCCCTTGGGTGTCCTGGTGCAGGCTCACTTTGCCAGCTACCTGGTGGCAGAGGATCCGGGCACCTACAAGATTGCCATAGTCCTTCCGCCCCACTACCATGTGCTGCTGCAGGCACAGACGACCCAGGGGGCAGCGTGCATCACCATTCGCACTGACAACTGGAAGGTGCTCCCCCATCTGAGTGCCTACCTGCGGAAGGTGGTGGAGTGACAGAGCCTGAAATAGGGATTGAGGGCATCCCCCAGCAAGGGGTATCTGTGAATGGGAGTAAAGGGGACATGTCTCCAGCCACCTGGGGGGGGATTTGAGAGTGGGAATAGGGGCATACATCTCCTTGAGGGGCCAATATCTGAGTGGGACTGGGAGCCTGAAATGTACATTTCTGAAGCTCTGTACAAATGCCTTTTGCAAGTAAAATTTGCAGTGAAATGAACAACTTAGTGCATGTGGGGAGGGGTGCATTGGAGTGGGGACAGGGATGGTGCATTGGGAGTTCTGGGGGCAGATGCAATGGGGTGGAGCTGGAGGAGTGTGGAGGTGGTGCTATGCATCTGTGGGAGTGCAATGAGGTGGTGCTGTGTGCCCGAGCTCCTGTACTGCTCCCAGCTAATGGGGAGTCTCCAACACTGGTGCTGCTTTGAGCAGCTGAGCTATAGTGCTGAAAGGACAGTTGGGATGCATTTCCCCCCTCACATGCTGGAGGACTCCATGCCTGCCCTGTGGGCCCGATGCTGAAAGGAGGGTTTGGTTTCTGAGGCCTGTTCGGTCCCTGGCTGCTCTGCTGGTACAGGGGTTGGTGAGCAAGGACTGGCCCTAGGTGTTTTGTCACCCAGGGTGGAAAAGGTTTTCTGTGCCCCATGCCTGGCTCTGGTGCCCCCAAATGAGGTAAGTTGGTGCCCAGGCTGGCCTGCCCCCTGAAGCCTGGCTCTCCTGGGTCATGCCTGTGGGGGAATGTGCAGGGAGGGGGACCCTGCTTTGCTGGGAATGCAACTTGCAATGCAGTCAGCTGTCCCCATGGCAACTGCTGAGCAGGCTCTGAATTAGGGATGTTCCCCCCCAGGTACAGCAGCCCCCCAGCACGGCTCCCTCCAGCGCGCAACCCAGTGTCCTATCCCTGCCCCCACGCCAGCCAGGCCCTGCTCTCCGGGAGAGCATGTGGGTCAGCGGGGAGACGGAGGCGCTCCAGAGGCTGCTTCTCCATCGGCCAGCATGATCGGAGGGAGGGGTTTTGCTCAGGTTGGGAACTACCGTCCCCATCATGCACCAGGGGCGGGACTGCCACTCCCATCATGCATCGCGGGGGAGGCTTACCTCCTGCGGAATGCGCTGGCCTCAGGACTACATCCCCCAGCATGCACCAGGATAGGCGTGCGGCGCGGTGTGAAGGGGTTCCCGTCGGCGTGATCCCGTTCTCAGGCTGCGCGCGGGACGCTTGGTGAGGGCGGCAGGTGAGCGGGGCTCTAGGCTGGGCGAGCCGGCGGAAGTGGAGACGCCCCCACACTCCTGCCCCGTCCCGGGGAGGGTCCTGCCCACGTGGGGATGTGGATTCCTGACGAGGCTCCTCCCCTGGCCCCCAGAACCACCCCCCCCCCCGCCCAGGGACGAGGCGCCCTGGTCAGGAGCTGCCGCCCCCCCGCTGCAGGGACGGGCGCCCTTCCCCGCGCCCCCGCCAAGGGACGAGGCGCCCTGGTCAGGGGAGCTGGCCGCCCCCCGCCCCCCGCCAAGGGAGAGCCCCTGTACCCCCGCCAAGGGACGAGGCGCCCTGGTCAGGAGCTGCCGCCCCCCCGCCAAGGGACGAGGCGCCCTGGTCAGGAGCTGCCCCCCGCCCCCCGCCCCCCGCCAAGGGACGAGGCGCCCTGGCAGGACGAGGCGCCCTGGTCAGGAGCTGCCGCCCCCCGCCAAGGGACGAGGCGCCCTGGTCAGGAGCTGCCCCGCCCCTCCCCGCGAAGGGAAGCCCTCGCCAAGGGACGAGGCGCCCTGGTCAGGAGCTGCCCCGCTCCCCCCCGCCAAGGGACGAGGCGCCCTGGTCAGGAACGGTCCTCGCAACCCTCCCCCGCCCGCTGTCCGAGCTGTGCTGTCCCCTCTCGCTGTCTCTCCTGCCAGGCCCCAGCTGAGCAGTGCCTGCCTCTGGAGCAAGATGTCTGAGAGCAGCAGCCCCGTTCGGCTGGACCTGAGCTCCCTGCGGGAGGCGCCCCAAGATGTCCTACATATGCTGCCTTGCGAGGTGGAGCACAATGGCAGCGCCCCTGTGGACAGATACTTCACCCCAGCCATCCGCCAGGGCTCGCAGGGTTGGTGACTCCCTCCATACTCGCCAGGGGATGCTGTGCTGCAGGGAGCAGGATGAGGGTTCCCTAGGGGGGTCGTGCCCCTTACAATCAATGCTGACCTCAGGAGGTGCTGTGCTGTTGCAGGGATGGGGTGAGGGCTCCATAACGGGTACTCTCCCCTCAGTCAGCATAGACCCCAGTACCCTTGCATGGAACCTGGGTTGCTGTGCCCATTTCTCAGTCGAGTGCATCCCCTGGCCAGGTCCCCCTGTCTCCCCAGCTCAGTGTCAGTTTCTCTCCCTGCAGAGAAATCTGTATCCTTCCGTGGCAGGAGCCTCAAGGGGCAGGAGGTGATGGTGCCCCAAGGTTATGTGGGGCTGGTTCTGAAGGAGGATCAAAGGCCCTGCACAGAGGAGGAGGTGAGCCCTGTGGGGGTGTGTTGGATGGATAGGGGAGAAGTAGCCCTGGGATGCTAGCAGCTGCCTGGGGGAAGGCTGTGGGGCTGGACCCTTGGCCTTGCCTTGGGCTGGAACCCAGCAGGAGGGGGCACTGGTAGCTTCTGGGGACACATTATGCCCCCTTTGGGGCTGGGTGGGAGGGGTGGTGTTGCCCCTTTGGGGACAAGGCCATCAGAGCTGGGAACAGTGTAGTGTTAACCTTCACGTTTTGGAGCTGGCTGGGGTCCCCCTCAGTCCCACTGCCTGTGTCCCTCCCTGACTCCCAGCCTCCCATGCTGCAGGAGCGGACAGTGCGGCTGAAATCAACCTTTGGGGCGCTAACTGTGTGGAACCTGGAGCGGGCTCCAAGTGCGGATGATGGGTTGCTCCTGGCTCTGAGCTGGCCAGGGATCGCCGAGGCCGTAAGTACTGGTGTGCTGCTCTCCTGTCTGTTCCCCCCCCCCCCTAGAATGGTAAGAGGGGCTGGTGTTGCTGCCGCAGCAACTACAAAGGGGTGGAGGAGGGCTAGATCCCCCCCATCCCACAAAGACTTACACTAGCTTTGCGTTTGGTCCATTATAGCAATGAACAGGTATGTTCTCAACCCTGTCCCATCCAATTATCAGGCTGCTTCTGTGGTTCACCCAGTGTCCCTTGAGTTGCTAGGGATGAGGCAATCATTACAGCCCATAATACCCCTGCATTCACCTACACACACTGCTAGTGAAGGGGGGCTGGCTGTGTGTATGGGTGTGCAGCAATGGGGCCTGGTAAATGCCATAATGATTGTCCCCTCAGAGTGAGTCAAATACTCTGGGATGAAATAATTATACCCCATGATATATACCCTCCATGGATATCCAGGCATGCCCCTTCCCCATAATATATCCCTGGTATCCCAGCAGCTGTGAGTAGGGGGAATGCCTCCAGGCCTAGCAGGGGGCAGAGTGGTGAGGCTGTCTTGGCCTGCCAGGAGCAGCTGGGTGTTCTTGGGCCTTGACTAGGTAAATGGAAGATGCTGTCCAAGGTATTCTGCCCAGCCTGGTGGGCACTATCCTCTTGTGGGGGAATGTGCAAAGGCAAAGTAATTGCAGTGCAGGACTGGGGCTCACAACTTCTGCCCTTGGGCAAGTCCTTGCCCCCACCTGTGCCTCAGTTTCCCCTCCACTCTGTTGATTTAGACGGAGCTTCATAAAGCAAGGAGTCTCATAGGGTGTTTGTGAAATGCTTGGCCCAACAGGAGCCCCAGTCTCAGTTCGGGGGAGCAGTGTAGTGCCTGGTACAATGGGGGACCTCCCCACTTTGTCAGGGCCTCGAGGCAGTACTGTGCTACACCTAACAGCAGCAGCTGTTTCTGCACTTCTGTCCCTTTAGGGCTGGAAGCCCATGGTTGCAGGGGGCAGGTGACTTTTGACAGGTCACCTCTCTCATTGCAGATCCACGCACCAGTGTTGAAGAAGGAACAGTGAGCCCATAATGGAGGCAGTGGTCCCAGGACTGCTAGCCACTGGCTGCCTCTGGGGTCTGCACGGGGGAGTGTTTTGGCCTCACCACCCTGCGCGGTGGCTCCATGCTAAGAATACATGGATCTCACAGAGATGCCTGCTTGGTCTGAGTCATGATTCCAGAGCTCACTGAGCCAGCACCTGGAAATGGGTGGGACAACATCTCCCCTGGTCCATGGCTGGCTGCCCTCTGTGCTGGAGATTGGGGAGGGGAGGGCTGAATGCTATGGGCCTTATATGCTGAAAACACTGATCCCTCAGGTCCCTGGGACAGGCAGCTTCAACATCTGGCAGAGGGCAAAACCTAGGCATGCTGAAGCCTGGCCCAAGTCACAGCAGCTGAGTGGGATAGAACCCAGGTGTCCTGACTCCCAGCCACTCTTCAAACTACATGGCTATGATTCTCTCTAGATGTCTCATGCTACCCAGGAAGGATTCTAATGCAGGAGCCAGGGCTCCTGGGTTCTCTTCCCCCTTGTGCCTGCTGTGCCTCCATTTTCCCCTCTGAATGAGGCAGGGAAGAGTGCTAGCACATTCAAAAGACCCTGGCAGGACTGACCAGCTAGAGGCAGTACAGGGCAGCAGGGTTGTGCTTGCAGCCTCTTTTCTCTTCCTCTCTCTCCAGGCTGTCACAAGTTTTGGCACAATGCGTGTCCCCACCCAGAACCATTCTTGCCAAGGGAATATTCAGCATTGTTACTTTATGGGGGGAGCACCCTGTTAGCAAGGCCTAACTCCACTGTGTGGCTGCTGTTTGCAGGTGGGCCTGTTGCCAGACCTGTAGTGGGAGGGTGGGGCAAGGCTAGTCAGGCCCAGAGGATTGTCCGAAGTAGTGGGATGGGGATCAGCACCATGAGTCTGCCAGACAGCTGGGGGGGGGGAGAGCAGAGTTTAGTGCTCAGCCCTAAGTGTCTTGGCCCAATGGCAATCAGCCCATCACCTGTCCATTGCTCAGTGCAGCCCCTGGCACTGGAGGACATCTGGTTCCAGATCCTGCTGTAATTGCTGCTCCCAGGGAGAAAGAAATGTGCTACCAGGGCAGGGGGAGAGCATAGCAGCTTTGAGATCCTAAACTTGTGTTTGGCCACAGCTTCAGCCAGCCTGCACCCTTCCAGGGTTCGGGCATGTTCATTGCACAGGGAGTGCAGCAGCTGGCTCTGGGGTAACACATAGCAGTCACTGCTGGCACTAGTGGAAGAAGTGATGGCCCCCCAGAATCCCTGGAAGTCGAGGCCTGATGCTGCTCAGGGTCCTGCACAGCCCTGAGGAAGATAATGCAGCCTGAGCACCCCTCATCCTTTTCTAGCTGATTAAAAATGATCAATCGTTTTAGTTCCAGGATCTTTATCAAAAACTCAGTTCGAGTGACAGAGAAACGCAGATGCCAGCCAGCAGCCAGCTCCCAGGGCCACCCATTCCCAGTCGTTGGGCTCCTCGGTCATAGCCCACACTGTACAGGATGGCCTGGCAAGATGCAAGTCCTACATACAAATGGGGCCCTCATCCTGGCACTGAGTCAAGGAGAGCAGCATGGGGGCCTCTGCCCCTTCCCATGGGGGTCGAGCCACGACCGGAGCCTAGCCCTGTGGTAGAGCACATGATCACCCTTGGAGATGCTGTTGCCCAGTCTGTCCCGGCCCTGGGATAAACTCCCAGGAGCTGCACATTAGCTGGATGGCTGTGAGGCCCCATGCCAGGGCCATGGGGGAGTGGGTGGCAGATAGGCCCTGCCTCTCACCACTTGCCCCTCTTGCTCCAGTCCTTGGGGGTGAAGTGCAGACATTTGGAGTCAATGCGCAGGATCCGCTTCAGCATCGCCCGCTCATGCCCATCCACGATGTCCTCCGAGAGTGTCAGGATGTATTGGCCCTTTAAGGGAGACAACAGGGGCCCAGGTTAGCGATGGGGTTCAAGAGAAATGTCTTGTCAGGGTTCCTGAGAAAATTAGTGAAGGGACCTGAGCCAACCTAGCTGCTTGTTCCACTGATGTGTTTCGGTCCCAGGGGGCAGCCCAATCAGCACCCACTGTCTCCTAGAGCCAGGGACAGACCCCATGAGTCCTGCCTCCCAACCCCCTTTAATTCAGCTACCCTAATGCCTTGGTATCTCTCCATGCTAGTGACATATACAAGGAAGCCACTTGCCCCTCTTGGGTACTGCTAGGAATCTCATTGCCTGCTTCCAGAGCATTCCTCCCAGGGTGGATACCTTGTAGTAATTGATGAGGTTCAGGTACTGCAGTGTGGAGATCACATCCTCCTTCTTGATGCTGGTGATCTCGCTGATTTCGCTGAAAGGGAATGGGAGACATGAGGGGGTGGAAGTCAGTGGCCTGGGGGGTCACTGGCGGGCAGGGGGGTGGGGTCGGAAGAGAGGCTATGGGAGCCAACAGCACCTTCCCCGTGTGCCCTGAGGCCATTCTGTTTGCGACCAGCCCTGGAATCACAGTTGAGGAAATGCTTTTGAAGCAGCCCTCTGTGAAGTGTTAACTCTGACTCTGAATGACAGCTGGGTCTGTTCTCCGTCACTGATTATTGGTGCAGAATCCTCTGCTCTAGGATTGAGGGTGGAGTTTGGGATTGTGGGCAGGGCACTCACTTGATGGTGATCTGTGGGCGCTCCCCGTTCTCAGACTTCAGGTTCATGAGGATCTCCAGGATGGTCTGGGACCAGTAGCTGCGGTAAGAGAGGAGCCCAAGGTCTGAGAGTGGCTTCTCTGGTGTCCCCGTCTTCCCTTCTACCTTGGAGAGCTCATAGCCTGGTGGGGGGAGGAGACGGGGTGAGGGAGCTGGAGATCTGGGGAGGGAGCTGGGATGGGAAGGTGCCACTTACTGAATTCGATGAGCAGCTTGCCATAGCCTCGCCTCTGGTATGGGGGCAAGGTCAGGATGCAGGCCACATTGTAGTCTTCTGTGGACTCCTTCTCCTATGGCAAACAGCAAAGGATTCACACCTCAGCCAGTAGCTGCAGATTGCTTTGATGCTGGGTGTTCCAGTGACTCCTCTGCCATCAAGACTGCCACAGATCCCCATGCCTTGTACCATGAGTTCTGGCCCCATCCACTGCAGCCCCTACATTAATTCCTGCTCATGCCCCCTTCCACAAATCCTGACCCTGGCCAGAGATTCCTGCTCACACACCCTCCCACAGATTCTCTCACAGCCACTGTGGCCCCCTGGCACAGATTGGGACCATGACCACATTCATCTGGGCCTTCAATCCCCACCTATGGCCATGGCCACACCAGTCCCCTCCTCCACCACAGCCACAAATTCCCATCCATGGTCACAGTGGCCCCTCATTCCAGATAGCAACAGCAGCCCACAGACAGAGCCTGGTCAATGGGGGAGTGGCTGTGACAAGGCACAGTGATTCCCTGACCAACGGCTAGTGTCTCAGATACTCCCAACTTCTGTGACTCTTCAGGCATCCCCCATGAGGAGGTTCTGATCCCATCAGGCAGCGGGGCCAGCCCATGGGATTCCTATCATACCACAAAAAGAAAAGGAGTACTTGTGGCACCTTAGAGACTAACCAATTTATTTGAGCATGAGCTTTCGTGAGCTACAGCTCACTTCATCAGATGTTTACCGTGGAAACTGCAGCAGACTTTATATTTCCACGGTAAACATATTTTTCAGTATACTTTTCAGTATATTTTCCAGTTTCCACGGTAAACATCTGATGAAGTGAGCTGTAGCTCACGAAAGCTCATGCTCCAAATAAATTGGTTAGTCTCTAAGGTGCCACAAGTACTCCTTTTCTTTTTGCGAATACAGACTAACAGGGCTGTTCCTCTGAAACCTATCATACCACAGTGACCCGCTCTGACTGGCCAGAGAACAGTGGGAGAGCAAGGGCTGTGACAGGAGCAGGGATGGAGGGTTTCATCCGGGAGCACAGGGCAGTGCCCCCT